TGGCTGTCAGAACGGATTAATTTCGTAAGTAGAGGTACCACTGTATATGCATATGTACCTTCAAGTGAACCAAATAAAGACTCAGGCCCTGCTTGCCTGCTGCTTGTTATACTCCTGTTCTGGCAGTGTCTTGCTCAGATAATGCACAGTGCAAACCCTGGTTCTGATGCAATCAGTTCAGATGATGTTTGCCATATTCTGCAACAGAACTGGAGAATAATACGCCTGACTGGGTGTCACCCCTCCTCTGGCATGACACCTGGTGTGGTCCACACCCCTCATACCCCTCCATTGATACCACTGCTGTGCACTAAAACCTTGTATTTAAGATAACTTACATCGTACTCTAGATCTTTCCATTACAGAGCCCTTTATTTTTGTGGTGGAGTGGCTGTCTGAACATGCATCCTGTTGAGCCATCTGGAGCATCCACCACTATTGCCAGTCACTCGCTCTGAAGTCAGAACAAGGTGTCCAGCTGTGTGATCATTGTTGGATGCCTTATTCTGACCTCAGAACTGAGTGACCCATGTTGGCAATGGACATGCCAGGTGGCAGACAGTGTGGAAATGGAGGGCCAGGTAATCGGGGCAGGTCAGGGCAGTTGTGGAGCCAGGATACTTTGGGCTGCCCCTGGAGTATACTGGCCAGTGCAGACAAGGCCTCAGAATCCAAACTGGTGTTCTCTGCAAGTGCAGAAGCCCAAATTCCTGGATTCCATCAGCTGACTGCCCTTCCTTCTTGCCCTCCTCCCTGCTGATCTGCTCTGGAGTCTCCCTGCTTCCCATCATCTGTCCACTTAAGTAGGGAGTTTATCACATGGGGACCATTTGTACCTCCATCCTAATAATGCTTAAAGTGGCAGCAACCTGCAAAAGTGTGCAGTACATGGATGATTTTCACACGCAGAACACAATGACGTATTAGAAGCTTGTTACTAAAATGAGAAAGAAGATAGAACGTGCATTTGGTTTTCACACAGATGCATGTAAATCCCGATAATGGTTTGGGAATACCTTTTGTTTGCATGTGTGCACAGAAGAAGTAATTGCATCACCAGGAATCACCCAGAGCAGGGGTAGGCAACCTGTCCCTTTCAATGGCTGAGGGACTCCCATAAGCCTCAGCCATGTTGGCCAATAGTCCCATGTTGGCCAATAGCTCCTGGGATTCTGGGAGCTGAAGTCCCTCGGTCCTTAAAGGGGACAGGTTGCCTACCCCTGACCCAGAGAAATAAACAATTTTATTTACACAATTTTCTTTATAAAAATATACTATACTGTCCCTTACTTTCCAAGAAATGGTATCCAACCTAAGTAAAAAGAACAAACATTACTCCAAGAAGTAGGAAAGGAAGAAAAACAGCATAAAAGGCTGTGTCCCTCTTGGCAACCAATGTCCCTGCCTTCCCTCAGCAGCTGTTCCTTTAACAGCCCTGGCTAATAGAGAAAGGTGAGGGAGAAGAGACATTCAGACAGACTAGGGAGAAGCAAGCTTTTCCCCTGGGTCCCTGCCTTTGCCTCAGCTACTGTTCCTTTAAAAGCCCTGGCTACTCGCCCCAAAGAACCATGGGAAATCTGACAAGAAGTACAGATACAGGAAGAACCCCACAAATGGCTTTCACACTAGAGCAATTGCGCAAAAAAAGCGAATTCGTGAATGAAACAGAAATGAATTTACAGTATTTTCCTGACAATGCCTATTTGCTGGTTCATCTCACTTTCCTGTCAGATTCCAAGTGGTTTGTCTGCAACATTGTGTGAAAACCAATTGCGCAATTGAGCCTAATATGGTGGATAACTGCAGGTTCTTACCCGTTTAAACTTCCAATTTTCCCTGTGTGATAAACTCCCAAGTCTTTTACTTTCATTAGCACCGGCTCCCAAGTTCATTTGGCAGAAGCAGATGGCAGACAGACAGAGAGCAAGAGAGAGCAAGACAGAGAGAAGGCAGGTTTTCTTGACACGCTGTCTGTGGCAGACAGAAGGAGAGAAAAAGGTGATGAGAAAAGGCCTGCTGTCAAGAGAGAGAGAGAGAGAGAAAGAAAGAAAGAAAGAAAGGGGGGCATGGAAATAATGAGCCCCACTCCTGGTAATGAGAAACTCTCTGGCTAATGAGGAAATTGACCAGGGGCTTTTCACCACAAAAGAGGCAGAAATAAAGGAGAAGATGATGGAGGGCTCCCCCACTACCCTTCTGTAACATAGCATGAATTCCCTCTGTCATTCTGCAGACCCGTCCAGACATCTCCAGGTCCAGGAGAGAACTATTTCTTCAACATTTTAAAACCACTCCATTGGAGGTGGGAGGGAGGGGACCTGTTGCAGACAAGATGTTAATCCACAGCAGTGGCATTCATAGGGGGGATGTGAGGGGTGTGGACCGCACCAGGTGTTACACCAGAGAAAGGGTGATTCCTGGTCAGGCCTTCCTCCTGCTCTGGATTGCAGTGTGCACACCAGTGCTGCTTCACCTATCGCCGGTCCCTTTTCCACCCCTCAAGGCTCCTCTGCTGCCCTACATTGACCAGGAAGCTGGGCAGTGGAAGAAGCAGAGGGGTGAGTGTGCCCCTTCCATCTCCTCCCGGTGCCTCACTTGCCTGGCTGTCCCTTGTCCATCCTAGTTTGGCAGCCAGGAAAGCAAGAGAGTGACTGAGGCAGAAAGAGGGGTGAAGAGGCAGGGGAGCTACCGCTGCTGCTTCCGGAAGCCCTTACAAGGGCTGGCTGGGTGGGTGGTGGGTGGCCGGGGAGTGGGGACAGTTGAGCAAGGCAGTGAGGATGTATGTGGGGAGACCACTGCCACCCTCCCTGACACTCCCTCTGTACCAAGTGACACCAAGGTTAGTGATGCCGCTGGTCCACAGTGCCTGTCAATGGTCTCTTGGATCAAAACAATCCAGAGTTGTACAAGTTTTGCAAAGAGCCAAGATGCCAAGTGCACAAGAAGTAGGTTGGGAAAGGTGGAAAGGATGGCTGAGATCCTACACCATGGTAGCTTTCAAAGAAGCAGCTGCGTTAGTCTTTTGAAGTACAGTTGGCCCTCCATTTTTGTGGGGGAACCGTTTTGGACCACTCGTGAAAATGGAGATTCGCCAATATTCAAGCCCCATAGGTTTGAATGGGTCACGCTTGATTTTAGCAGCGGTCCCCCCTCAGTGAATATGCTTCAAGTCTGTGAGAATGGAGGGCTGACTGTAACAAAAGGAGGAACAGAGGCAAAGGAAAAAAGGAATGTGGCTGCATCTTCAAGACTAAGGAGATTATCGTATTTGCTTTTTTGCTCAATCCGGGCATGGGATGGGAAAAACGGGTTTTATCAGACATGAAATTGCTGTTGTGCTGCTGTCCGACCATCACCCATCTTCGAGCCGTGCTCAGCTGGCCGATTTTGGTAGTATGGAACCTTTCCGTACTACCAAAATTGTCTGGATAGGTGCAGCAGGTGGATGGGTGGTGGTCAGCCAGCAGTGCAGCAGCAATTTCGTGTGCGATAAAATCTGTTTTTCCCCATTGCAGCCTGATCTTGTCCCCTGCCCAAATTGGGCAGAAAAGTAAATGTGATAATCTCCTAACTGGTTTTTATTTTAGCATGAGCTGTTGTGGATATAAATCCACTGCTTTGGATGCAGTGCCAAATGGTACTAAAACCTCAGATATAAAGCATATTTATACAATTGTGAGAAAGGGATAGAATGCTATAGGATTCAGAGAGGAGCAAATCACATCTCTTGCCCTAAATTTTCAAAGGTCTGGGTAAAGATTGGGTGGCTGTCTCATCTTGGAGAGCTCCAGGCTCCTAGCTATCCTCATGAACATCCCAGACTCATGATTCCAACTATCTGTGAGTAAAATAGGAGAATGTATTCGCTCAGGGGTCGGCAAGGTTTACGTACCTGGGGTCGGTCGCTGGTCCCCAGGTCTTTCGCCGGGCTGGGGGGAATGGCCCCCGTAGACTGACGACTCCTCCCGCCGCCGCCGCGCGTGTTGCAGCTGCCATTTTGGCAAACAAAATGGTGGCCGCAACTCATTTGCGCGTGTGCAGTACTCCTGCAAACAAAATGGCAAACAAAATGGAGGCCGCGACGTGCACTGCAGTGGCGGGGGCAGTGGTCGGCAGGGGCCGGTTGGCGGGGGTTGGCGGGCCGGGTGCGGCCCACGGACCGTAGGTTCCTGACCCCTGTATTAGTTAGTCACATCAAGGTTGTTGTTGTATGCCTTCAAAGCTATTTCTGAGTTATGGCAACCCTAAGGTGACTTATCATGGGGTTGTCATGGCAAGAGTTGTTCAGAGGAGATTTTCCATTGCCTTCCCCAAAGCTGAGAGAGTGTGACTTGCCCAGGGTCACCCAGTGGGTTTCATGGCTGAGCCAGGAATTGAACCCTGGTCTCCAGAGTCATAGTCCAATACTCAAACCACTATGCCACTCTGGCTCTCAGATCCAAAACACACTGCAGAAATAATCCAGTTTGAGACTGCTTTAACTGTCCTGGCTCATTGCTAGGGAGTCCTGGAAAATTAGTATCTTGTGGCACCAGAACTCTCTGATAGAGAAGGTTAAATGGCTCTCAAAAGTACAGTTCCCAGAATTCCCTCACATTGAGCCAGGGCAGTTAAAGCAGTCTCAAACTGGATTATTTCTGTAGTGTATTTTGGACCACGGTTGCATCAAGTACATTTGATTACGAAGGGGGTATAGTAAAGTAATAATTATCACCTGGATGTTATTATGGCACATTGATGAAATTTTGTCAGTGTCATCATCACCAAGTGACTTTTTCTTTGAAAAATCCACTGCGGAGTCACCGAGTTGACAACACAGATGACGTCATTCATGAAGTAGAAGAGTGGTTTAAGG